AGGATTGTTGAATGATACGTAAAAGTAATTGATTTTGTTATGAAATTGTACAAATGTAGATTGAACAATCGCATAAACATAAATATAAATTTTTATGATTCTAAGTATTACCATATCTCAAATTTATGCATCAAATATGTAAAAAAGTGATCACTTGGGAACTTTAGTAGAACTCAAATTCTGTTGTGAGCCAACAAAAGTATTAGACAGGTCGAGACTTTTTATTCCTTTTAATAAAAGTACATACTTACATTGTTTCACAGTTATGGTTATGTTATCTTTAAAAGTATAACATTTGAGTCTGAAATATACACAACAAAGGTGATATGATTTAGGAAATTATAGGATTGTGACATGTATTATCATTTCAATGTTTCAAATGATAAATAGGCTTTGAAAGTTTAATGGAGCTTCTTTGATATAATGAGTTGATATAAACAGCGATACAAAATTGATGTGTATATTTATGTATGTGTAGTGGTTATAGAACTTTACAATCCTAAAGGAGATGAAAAAAATTTAATTAAAAGAAAATAAAATCTTGAAGGATTTATTGATGGACTCTACTATATTACTTAATTTATGATAGATTATAGGTTCTCTTTTCTACTATCAATCATCATTGTACATGTGTTAAAAAGGAAAATTAAGTAAAGTAGGGTTATTATTTTGCTTTTGATTTATTATTCTTTATTGAATTTATCTTGATGCTCGCTCGTAAGATTAGGATTTTACTTTTACATGTTCGTATTTTATTTTATGCAATATAATTCTCTTTATAAATCATATCATATGTTTTCACCAATTTATAATTCTCTTGGGGTTTGGTTCGTGTGCCGATTAGGGTGGCTGTGCGGTGTGCCTGCAAGATTTAGGTGAGGTTTTATTCTATTGGTTGTAGGTGTGGGTTGTTTTATTTATTTCTTTTATTTTTTTGGTAGTCTCCTAAGTGGAGTTTATTAGTCTCCTTTCTGGAGCTTTGTTTAGTCTCTGGTACGGGGTTTGTGTTTCTCGGGTGTTCGCACTCCTTTGATTGCCTGTGTAATTCCAACGAGGATTGATCCAGACTTTGTTCTGGTTCTAATGGTATCATTTGATATTTCGATTGTACCATTTTTCAGTTTCTAATATATTTATCATTTAATCAAAAAAAAAAATACAAAAAAAAAATCAATATATATAAATGCACAATGTCACTATCTTATATGTACTTCGAAACTCGGTGTGGAATTTTGGTTCTCCGTAATCCTATTTATTGAGTTTTAGTGTTTTGGAGTAGTCTATGTAAATCTTAATTTCATCTTTAACTATGAGGAATTTTAAAAATTTAAAACACTTGACAAACTTAAATTATAAATATATTTAGAAGTTAATAACTTTTCTATGTGTTATAAATATTTTTATATATAATATATCAAATTAATCATATTTTGACGAGTTTCAATTGATATTCAAATTCTCGAGCTTCGTGAAAGGTTGTTTGCTATTGAAGGCATTAGACGTTATATCAAAGCTTATATGTGGTCTCCCTGTTGGGATCTGTGAGGATCTCGTTATGCATAAGTCACGAATTCAATAGCAAACGTAAACCTATACGCAGCGGATCTAAAAGTTTGACGTAGTGAACTTACAGCTTAAAATTTATGTAGATCTGGTTGACTACGAACGGTTGACCGCAAATCACGTCTTGGGTTGCACGAACAAGATCAGATCAAAACCGGATCAAACGGGTGCAAAACGATGAAGATGGATGTTGCAGCCTGAGAGCTTCCGGCGGCGCGTGCGGGCGCGTGTGGCGTTGGACGACGGCGATCTCAGCGGCGATGGAATTCTATCGTCGAGACGGTCGTCTGGGTATGCTGTGCGCCTCAATCGGACTTCCGGTTAGTTCTGGAGGATAAAATATATTTCGTCTCGAATTACCTACAGATCTTCTACTGTATTACTCAATACACCCTTCTTCAACTTGTATCAATGGAGCAACAAGAAGAAGATAAAGCTCGAATGAGATCTAGAGAGATGAGAGGCATGGACAGTGTGTCTGTATAATGGACAGATGTCTTCTCTTCTCATGAGCTTAATGATGTATATATAGAGCAACAGTAGGGACCCTTAGGAGATTAGGAAAAGGGCTCCTTAATTAATTAGACTAACTGTAGGCCAAGCCCACTCCTCTAATTAATTAAATAATAGGGAAAATTACCTTGTGCACTACATCATATCATTTTTATTACATTTATACAACTCATATATTTTTATTCGTAAAATCATTAAAATCATCCCATTTATTTGCATACATACTACATCCCTTTAATTGGATAACTGATGAAAACTTCCATTAACCATGAATTTCACCTAAATAATTACCTACCAAAAATAATAATAGTTATTATTATTGTTAATCAGCCTCACCACATTTCTGTTGCTTTCAATTTCAAGATTAAAGCATGAAAAAGGCAAATAAAGTTGCAGCCCGTTCACATGAATACACGGATGCAAATGAATAATTAATGATTAAAATAAATAAATAATTTCGAATTATATATATTTCAGGTTATATTTTAGGTATATATACCGAGATTATGGTTTATATATTCAGTATATATACTGAATACTGAACATAAAGCAAAAATATAGACTTATTTATTTATGTATAGACCAATGTTTTAGGTATCAGTTTTATTTTATGTTTTTAGGTATATATGTGTACATAAAAAATACTGAACATAAACCAAACAATATATTGTTGAACATAAACTAAAAATAAACTGAACATAAACCAAAAATAAACTGAACATAAACAAAAAATATACTTATACTGCACATATAATAATAAACTGTTGAACATAAACTAAAAATATTAAAACTACGCAGTTTATTTCTATGAACAAATACCAAAATATACTACACATATACTTTCACCTGTTCAACATTTTATGGAATAAAACTATTAGTATTGTACATAGCAGCACTACGACTCTCATTGAAAGCTTGCGGCTTCGGTAATAGAGGGTCAGCCAGAATAAAATAGCGACACAAGAACCGAGATGGGCGGCCCAAAGATCTGTCCCAAACGAGTACCCAACGATTCAATTGGACAATAGCGGTCTGACGGGAACCGTCAGGCTCTGGCGGTGGAGGTTGGACGACGTCGGCTTAAGGGGAAGCGATTCGTACGGTGGCGGCGTGTTTCGAGTCGGCGGTGGAGATGGCGGTTGTTGTTCGCACTTCGTCGGGCTGCTTGCGGGCTCGCGTGAGGCTATCGGAGATGTTCGAAGACGTCGGTGAAAAGAGGACTGTCATAGTGATGAAACTATTTTTTTTCTCTTTTTTTTTTTTGTTAGTAACAGAACGGTGGAGGAGAAATCGTGGGGGAGTGAATATCATGTAGTCCGAATTATAGATAACTGAATCTTAGGATTTATATAGTATATTTTTCACAATTAGGTAGAAACACAATATCTTATGTATGGATAGTATTGTTGCAATATTTTTAATTTCATGTAGGACACATGAAAATTTCCCTTTTAACATTGACCTGTTAGCTTTTGGGCAGGGCCGTTGGCCAGCCGGTCAAGTGAATCTTAGTCATTAATCATGCAATAACTACAAGACTCTAGGGTTGAGATTAAATCATAGTCATCATCAACTACGGAGGTAGAACGCAAAAGCATATCAAAATTTTGAGAAACTTGAATTTTGAAAATCCTAATTTCCAAACTCCGCAGGTCAGACCAGTTCCAAGTTGGGCTCCAAATCATAAATAGACCCTTGGAAACAATAATTAAACATGAAGATGTCTGACCATTGAGCATATGATAATAAACAAGGTGAAAAATACATCACAAAGGCAAAAGCAAAACATTAAATTATGCAAAATCATTAAATACTTAATCCATAGTCAAGAGTTTGCTAATTCAAATTTAATATTCCATCCAAACGTTTAGCAGGAAGAAAACAACAAAAGATATAGCATCAAGAGTAAAATCCTGTCAACAAAGGCAAAACCAACAAGCCCCATATTACACAGAGTGAGCATTCAGAAAAGTGAAGTTCCCTTGCCCTTCTTATCTCCACCAATCTCAAAATGCTTGCACCTCTGCAAAATCAAGCCAACCTAGTTAAATCTAAAAGGGCAAAAGCGTATAAAGAAAATGCGGAAGAAAAAAAGCCAAACAACTGACCTTGATGGGGTGCTGCGAAACATGCTTGCAACCTTGGCATTGCAGCCTCAGCACAATCTTCTTAGTTGTTTTTGCCTAATAACAAAGGGCAAAAAAACAATACAAAAGAAAAATAAAATTAAGAAAACACATCCAAAATAACCACACAATATTCAAATAAAATTTTTATATTCTGCTACATTCAGTTACCTGGACCTGGATCCTCTCGAATTGATAGATTAATGTGTATATTTGAAGATACACAACACTAAAATAACATGTAGCGCCTACTTTACATAAATTTACACTCAAAACTTTTTAACTTTAGAGTATCCATTTCCTAGCTAACCGCACCTCACACCTTTACATAGTGGACTAAAAAACACTAAACAAATAAAAATCACCTTCTTGTGGAAGACGGGTTTTGTCTGGCCACCATAACCCGACTGCTTGCGGTCATAACGGCGCTTACCTTGAGCGGCCAAGCTATCCTTGCCCTTCTTGTATTGGGTCACCTTGTGCAGCGTGTGCTTTTTGCACTGCTTTGATTTGCAGAAAGTCTTCTTCGTCTTTGGCACGTTCACCTGCAAAGACAAAGCCACAGACAAATGAATTAATCAAACACGCGAAACAACACCAACAGAATTACAAAGATGCAAGTCCTGATCCACATCAAAAGATCTGAGCTGCATAAACTCATCATTTGCAGGACGTATGGCCATGTATGGAAAATTGAGCACATCTCAAGTAATTTGAAAGGGACCAATTTAGCTCAGAAATGCAGGATTATTATTTCTCTGAATAGAAATCATTTGGGTCTAACTCCCAAGATAGCAATGCTCAGATCAAGGTTCAAGCAAAAACCAAAATTGCCAAATAAAATCAAAATATTGAAGTTCACCCCAATGGTCATCCTAATGAAAAAATACAAAGTACAGAGAACATACAAAAAAAAAAAAAAATGGTATCATATGGGTCATTCCCCAATCACTGAGCCCTAGTTGTTAAAGATCAGGAATTTCAACATCAAGTTCTCTTCAAATTTTTTTTTTTAAGAAAAAAAGTTTTCAACACTTCTTTTTTAATCAACGAAATACAGAATTTCATTCAGCGAATTCAAACATATTAACAATTCACGCACCACAGATTTTCATAATCCAACTTTTTTCGGTCCCAAACTGACAGTTTCTAGCACTAAAATTTACACGAAGTTCCCTAACAACAACAAATGCTCAGCTAGCAATGAATTTAAAGAGTCCTCGAGAATCATTTGCAGCATCTTAAGATGATTCATGAAGAAAAATACAAAAATAAGCTAAAAATTTCATCGTCAAAATTTGAAAGCAAGAATGAGAGAGAGAGTACCATGGCTGACAGCTGATGAGGAAGGCCAGGGGAGCTGGGATGTGCCTCTGCAAAAGTTAAACCCTAGAGTGGGAAAAGTTCTGTTCTTTAAATACCATCGTTAGGGTTACATGTGTGGGTGAGGAAGTAGGCTCGGCCCGGATAATAACTTTACAAAGATCAGCTCATTAGTGACTAAATAAAATTTATTTTGGGCTTTGTTGAACGGGCCTGAGATGAACTGCAAAGACCATGCTAACGATTTCAAAGACAAGGGTATGCTTGGATATAAGATTTAACTTATAATTTATTTATTTAAAAAAAGAACACTTGATTGGTGGGCTGATGGCCCGGCCCAAAAGCCAGCAGGTCAGTGTTAATTATAATTTATTTATTAAAAAAAAAAAACAAAAAAACGAAAAACTTGAATTTCTCGAATCTATTGGGAATCGGTTGGTCCAGATTGAAACCGGAAATTAAACCAATTCAAATCAATGAGTTCTTGAACCGAAATCCTCATGCTCCCGGATTCACCATGTTAGGAACGGATAGTGTATTGTCAACGTTTAATACGTAATATATAATTTTATTTTTGAAATTAAAGACATTTGAAAAAATAAATAAGAAAAAATAATTGTGTATTGTCAACGTCTAATACATAATATATAATTTTATTTTTGAAATTAAAGACATTTGAAAAAATAAATAAGGTACAGATTCATTAGGTTAATGGGCGGCAAGAGATGCCACATGACGGTCAGCCACATTAGCAGTTTCAGCAGAAGAAGCTTCAAGTCGCTCAACCACCGACCGGGAGAGAGGCGAAAAGGCTCAACCGAGGAAGGAGCTAGATCTATTCTAAAATCCTTGTCCTTTTCCAATGCCAAAGACATACCAAGGGCTCAAAGCCACTTCTTCATCGACAGGTTCAGGCGCGAAGTGAACCAAACCAATAGCAGTAGATGGTTCGTCCACCAAGGACGGATCTGGTGCTGGCTTAGGGCAACCAAAAAGCATTGAACCTTAGCCGACTTCGAACGAACGAAGAAAAAAGCATAGTTCGTCCACTTTTCTCTTGGAAAGAGATCCTATGCTCTTGGAACTTCTCTTTCTTTGACGACGGGGATCCGCAGAACATCGGGTCGAAGACAGACCGATGGGGAGGTTCAAGTCTTCAGAAGCTTCAGTCTCTGTTGAGGCCTTGACTTTCATCTTTCTCTTTCAAAATGTCCACCACCAAATAAAAAAACAACAAGGAAGTCAAAAAAATAATTAATTAATCGAGTCAAAACGAGTTGATCTGACCGAAATAATATTTGGGTCTACAAGGTTTGGGCTTGGTCATTTTTTATTTAATCGGTCCAAGTAGGGTAATCGATCCAGACGCATTGGGTCGATCTTTAGAGTGTGATTCAATATGGATTTGAGTTGGTTTTGATTGATATTTTTTGTAAATCATAGTTTATTTTTAAATGTTATGATTAGTTAGTGAGATTTTGATTTTATACTAAAATAATATTTAAAATTAATTAATTAAAATTAATTTGATGTAAAAGTACGAGATAGATAATGCAAAGTGATCGTTAATTAAAATTATGAATGGATGAATAGTGAATTAAGTTGATATGATGTGTATGAATGAATGATTGATAATATTAAATTATATTGATAATATTGAGAATAGTAGAGTTAAGTTAAAAAAAATGATGGAGTTAAAAATAACTAATTTTTTTTTTTGTGTGCGTTGAATCCATATCCAATCACACCCTAGAAAAAAAACAATGATTTAGATGACAAATTTGTGCGAAAATATGGTGATTGTGTTGAATGAAGAACTAGGGTTCAGTCCTCCGCCGGATTAGATTTTATAGCGCCGTGATTTTCTTAAGCATCGGCCATTGATTCAAGAACTAGGGTTCTTCACAAGTTGATTTCGGTATTGGGGCTCGCGTGATTGAGTCTTGGCAATTGAGGGCTGTGAAATTCTGTCGGCTTTGGCAGAGAAGAAAGGGAAAAAAAATTATACACTTTCACAATTATTGTGTGATTTTTATGGAAGCACAACTAATATCCATGGTGGAATTATAAATCAAATTAATAAAGCCACGTAATATGCCACCTCATAATGTGGCATGGCTTATGGTGCCCATATGGGCACCATAGAATTTCTGCACTTATATTACAAATTGAGACATTGTGTTTAATTTTTTACACTTACAATATTACAAATTCACTTACAACTTTTTTTGTCTGTTTTTTTTTGCAAATCACTTACAATTGTTTTAAATGAGTTATTTTTTATTTCTCTCAAATGAAACCGACCAAATATATGGCCGTGAAAAATGCTGAAAATATTTGCTGAAAATATTTGGCGCCACTTTGAGAAGAGGCGAAAACACACAGGCGACATGGCGCAAAAAACGTCCTCTGCAATTTTCGAAAATCCCCAAATGGGGTTCGAATTCCCTCGTCGGTCCAAAAGATCTTCAGAAAATTCCCCAATTTTTCCCCCGCCCATTTTTCAGCCCATACAAAATCATCTCATTTCCCTTCACAAATTATCTCACTCTATTCTATTAATCGCAGCACAACCAGATTTGAGCTTTACTCCATTTTCATTTCCTTGTACCGTGAGTTCAAATTAGTTGGTGAAAGATGTCGAAAACGGTGAGCCCAGATGCGGTATCGATTATTCTGGCTAACCCGTGCCCAGACTCTTCTTCAGATTTGCCGGAGATTGTTGTACAAGTCGTCGATCTCAAACCAACTGGCACCAAGTACACGTGAGTGTTCTCTTTGATCTTTGTAGTTTTTTCCCCCGATTTCCCCAAGTTCGTAAGGTTAGTTCATGAGCTAAAATGGGTGCCCTCTAAGAATAAAATACATCGCCTTTTGCTATTATGGATGAATGGGTTATCAGTGTATTGATCTGGAGGAGTTTTTAGTGTGCGTTTTGATGGGTGTTTGAAGGTGAGATCTGGTGTAAGGAAAAACAGTATATATTTTACTTGAAATTGTGTGATTTGCTTCACNTGAGTTGGATAAGTTTAGAAAGCAATTTTGTGTGTGTGTGTGTGTGTGGAAATGGAGAGATCTATCTTTTTAGCAGTTAAAGATCAGTGTGTGCATACATTATTCATCCAAAAATGATTGTCTCTATTTTTTAAAATAAATGTGACATTTTTTTTATCTGAGTGCAAAGCGATTGATTAATGTGTAGGAAAACTTTACTATCATAGATACAATATTTCACCCTTCAAGCTGTAAAAATGTTTTATTCAATCACCACAGGTTCATGGCGAATGATGGGAAAATGAAGGTGAGAGCTTTGCTGCAATCTTCTCTGTCATTGCTAGTGACATCTGGAAATATTCAGAATCTGGGGCTTATCCGTGTTCTCGACTGCACTCTCAATGACATCCCCACCAAGAATGAAAAGTAAATAAATTTATGCTAATTGATGTTATTCTACTTAATAGTACCTCCTCCTTGTTTTTGTCTGTATATGTTGATCAACATTGAGGTTTGTTCTGATCTGAAATGCATTTACCCTAGGTTCCTGATTGTATCAAAATGTGAGGCTGTGTCTCCTGCACTTGAGGCAGAGTACAAGGCAGATGCTGAGGTTGCTTTGAGTCCAGAGCAGGATACTGTAGTTAAAAGTGAAGCTAGCAGTATTTTGTTAAAGCCTAAGCAAGAAGCCATGACAAAATCAGCTGCACAAATAGTTCATGAACAGCATGGCAAGTAAGTCTGATAGTATTTGTCACCCCCACTTGTTCTTGTTTTCTAATTAATCAATTAAAAGATGATGTGAGTTTTACACACACCTGGCCACCCAAAATATAAATCCAGAAAAACATTGGTATGATTCAGCTGCATCTCTATTTATGGGGCTGTTCTTAACATTTTGAGTGGTCTCAGTATGGCACCAGCTGGACGAATGGCGATGACAAGAAGAATCCACCCACTTGTTTCTTTAAACCCATACCAAGGAAACTGGACAATTAAAGTTCGGGTGACTAGCAAAGGAAACATGCGATCCTACAAGAATGCAAGAGGTGAAGGCTGTGTGTTCAATGTGGAGCTGACTGATGAAGATGTGGGTCAAAAACTGAATTTTGAGAAGCATCATCTTTTATTGATGTTTTTTTGCTTTTCATAGTAACTGAGGTATCTTATTTGTTGTTATGGTGTCAGGGCACTCAAATTCAAGCTACAATGTTTAATGAGGCTGCAAGGAAGTTCTTTGATAAGTTCCAGATGGGGAAGGTCATTTACATATCCAAGGGTACTCTGAAAGTTGCAAACAAACAGTATAAGACTGTGCAGAATGATTATGAGATGACCTTGAATGAGAATTCCGTGGTTGAGGAAATCAATAGTGAGCCAGCTTTTATTCCTGAAACCAAATTCAGTTTTGTCCCGATTGATGAACTAGGCCCATATGTGAATGGAAAGGAGCTTGTTGGTAAGAGTCTCAATACTCAAACCTGTTATCCTTTACCCACCCCATTACTTTATTTTATATTATTTGAGCTGTCTTTTACAGATGTTGTTGGGGTGGTTCAGAGTGTATCTCCTACAATGAGTATTAGAAGGAAGAGCAACAATGAGACTGTTCCAAAGCGTGACATAACCATAGCTGATGAGTCGTATGCCTCCTGTTTCGTATTGATTGTTTTTTGTTTTGTATTTTACTTTTTAATTTAATTTATAACTCGGTTTGCTTTGTCAGGAAGAAAACTGTGGTGGTGTCTCTGTGGGGTGATCATGCCACGAATGTTGGACAAGAGCTGCTCGATATGTCTGATAAATCTCCTGTGGTTGCTATTAAGGCTCTCAAAGTTGGTGACTTTCAGGGTAGGTGAAATTTATGCTGTGCAACTAATGATTTTGTTTTGTCCAATTGATATAAAACTGAAAAAGTGCGCTCCATTTGTCAAATCAGGTGTATCATTATCAGCAGTGAGCAAAAGTGTTATAGTAGTCAACCCGGAAACCCCAGAAGCCAAAAGGCTGAGATCTTGGTATGTAACTGATCAAAATTTCCTTTCCCCACCAATCTTTTCCACTTGTTAGACACTTCTGATTCTTACACCTTTGATGGTTGTAAATGCACACAGGTATGACTCTGAAGGCAAGGACACTTCTTTGGCTTCTATTGGTGCTGGCTTAAGCCCTTTGGCAAAAGGTGGAGCAAGATCCATGTACTCCGATAGAGTCTCCCTATCTCACATCACAAATGACCCATCATTGGGAGAGGATAAGGTACTATAATTTGCTGTCTTTGATCAGATTACAGTTTTTTTATGGTTAATAGTATATTGTAGTATGGCATTAAGGTGTTCTTTGTGAATTAAAGTAGTGTTAATAATAAAATAAAATAAAACTCTGATAAACATAATAACATCAAGTAATGCTCATTGTCACCGACTTACTCTCTCTCTCTTTCTTTTTTTACCATCACAGCCTGTGTTTTTCTGCATCAAAGCATATATAAGCTACATCAAACAAGATCAGGCAATGTGGTACCGAGCTTGCAAGACATGTAACAAAAAAGTTACCAAAGCTGTTGGGTCTGGCTACTGGTGTGAAGGGTGCCAAAAGGATGAGAATGATTGCAGTTTGAGGTTTGTAGCTTTGAACTCTTTATCTGCTTTTGGATTATGTACGAAGAGATTCCTCCATGACTTTATGCTGAAATATAAATTGTTTCTTCTGTTAATAGATACGTGATGGTGGTTAAAGTTTTGGATGCAAGTGGCGAAGCCTATCTCTCAGTTTTCAATGAGCAAGCTGAGAAAATAATTGGATGCTCAGCAGATGAGCTCAATGAGTTGAGAACTCAGGTTAGCAATTAGCATTATGCAAATCCATAGCCCATTGCAAAGGAAATGATCAAATGATGATTTTTTTTTGTTTTTTTTTTTCTATATATTGGGTATGTTGTTGTATTTTCTCATGTTGATTATTCCAATTTAGGATGGAGATAGCTCATATCAGATGACACTGAAGGATGCTATGTGGGTCCCTTACCTATTTCGAGTTAGTGTGACTCCTCACGAGTACAATAACGAAAAGAAGCAAAGGATAACTATCAGGGCTGTTGCACCAGTCGATTATGCAACTGAATCCAAGTATTTGCTCGAAGAAATTTCCAAGATGAAAATATCTAGATAGAGTTGCACCATAGTGGAATCCTTTAATTTAAACTGTACTTTTTTATGTGAATAATTGACTGCCTTCTAGAGATCAAAATTTGTGTCTTCTCAGTACTTGAATTGAATGGTTTTGGATTTTGTTAGCAAGGGTTGTAATATATTATTCTGACCTTGTCTTGGTTGAAGTATATTTCAGTAGAAATTACAGTGCTTTGATCATCTTTCTAGAGTGAAGTGCCACAAAGATTGCTGTATTTTGTTTTGGTCTTTGGAGCACAAGTACACAACATGATACAAATGCATCTGATGCATTTGATGAAAACTTAAAATTGTCATTGGTAGTTGACTTGCCAAACTCAAATTTCGTTTATGTTTTTGTTTGATATATTTTTTTATTTTGTTAGTGTGTTATTTAACCTATGAAATTCGTTTCTTGGGTTAGATATTTTTTATGGGCTTGGTCACAGCTAATTAGTTATAAGCACTCTCATGAGAAGTCCATGTGACAGAGTCCATCTCAATTTCCTAAAGAATTAAATCTAGACAAGCTCAAGGTTAATTAAACTTAGCACAAGCTTCAACTGACATCACATCATCAAAAAGGCATAATTAATAATAGTTTCTATATACTTTTGAAAGTTTACCATTCCTTCTTTATATAATCTAATCCAAAAACACATCCAGATAAAATTCCTCATTTTTTTCCTTGAATCTTTCAGAGCTCTTTGATCCTATGAAATCACATTCTAAACTGGGACAAGCCAATATAGGCCTGAACAAAGAATAAAAGATTAGTAGTGTCTGAACTTTGAGATTAAAGTAACGATTTTGTCGAGAAGCTTGGATGCATCTTCCTCCCCAGAGGAGAAAGGCTTGGTCCATTCTTGATACCTATGGAGGCTGCCCGTGAAGTCCGTGAAAAGCCCATCAACTCCAATCTCGTTTATCCAGTAATCATACTCTTTGTACGGGTCTTGACTGAAGTTGAAGTGCAAAAACTGATTCTCATTCCGGTAGGTGTACGGGTGAACCTGGGTAGAAAAAGTGTCAGCAGTAAAATTTGAGAGCATGAGATAAAATTCAGCATTACATTAGAAATAAAACGAAATAACAATAATAATATTAACCCTGCAGAATGAATGCAAAGAATGGAGATATGTTTTATCTTAGAGTTACACAACATAGTTATAACTTATAACCAACTGATAATTTGTTTCAAGTAAAAAATTCGTGACTTCGTATATCATAACACATTATAACTTTTTTCCAGAAGAAAAAAAAAAAATAATAAATAAATAAATAGAAAGGTACCTGAAGGTTGTGGGCATGTGCTCTGGCTACAAGATCTGTTGGTGCTTGCAGATAATTATTTGATGGGATAACCAGTGTATCCTTCCAGGGCCCAATCCCAACAACATATTCCTTGATATAATCAAGATAATTATCCGATGTGATCTCCCAGTAAGACTGATACAGTCAGAACATGTCATGTCATGAGAATTCTTGAAGATAATGAACATTAACTAACCAAAATTATGTGATATAGCTAAACTGTGTCAGTAATTTATAGTCAGCATCTCATTTAATCTCCAACAGGCAAAAACCTACAGGAAATTTCGAAGAAATATTTTAGAACCTGATTAGTATCTTGAGTTGGCATGGAGGTGTCATCAATTAGGAAAATCTTCGGCAGGTCGGTCATGTTTGAAATGTAGGTAAGAGAAGTTGGTGCAAATGACTGAATAAAAGCAGGTTGCTTAAGCCATTGTTTTGACAAATAGGAACCGTGGTACCCGTACTTTTTGAGAGTTTGAACGAATTTGTCCTCGAACTTCTTACCACCTGACCACTTAACCTGTTCAGCAAAGTCATGTACCACAGAACAATTTATTTATTTATTTTTAACTTAAATTACATCAAAATTTGCAGAAAAAGGAGAGTGAAGAGCTCACGTGTTGATTGATAAATACTGGATTCTTTATCTCTGGATATATTCCAACAACTCTGGGTGCATCCAGAGCAATTGAAATAAATTCCTCAAATGTTACAATCGAAAATTTTCCTGCACGGCAAAACTTAAAGTTAGAAAGTTAATCTAGCATCACCAATCTTTTCCTTTCATTTAATATTGCGAATTGCGATGTATAAGACTTTGAAAGAGAGTATTTTTTTCAAGCACCAACAATTACAAAAGTAAAGAGGAGAGATACAAAAGATGAACACTCTATTTAGTTAAAGACAAAGACAAGACATCACAAAAAGGTGTTGACTTGATGCAAGATGATTCTAGCCGACTATTTATGCACTGATATAAATCACAAATCAACTCTCTCATATATTTTCCATCAAGCTCGTTGAATATGTAATTTGCACACTGTTACTGAAAAATACGACTATTATGGTAAGCTCATACAGATAAAAAATTAACCAAACCAAGGTACTAACCGTTGTACTGCTGATCCCGGAATGAGTATCTCTGCTTTACTCTTAATGACTTCAGCTCTTCAAGTGTAAAATCAACTGCATGCAATAACAACCGATATCAATTGATTCATGAATTAAAAGCTATGTCAGGTTACACCACAATGATGAGATTTATTATAAGAAATAGAAAGTGATCCATCATTGTTACCAGCCAGGAACTCAAGATTGATTTTAAGGGACATCAAAATCAAAATCATTCGGCTGAGTAAAACACCAATACGGAAAGGGATTTTTTTTAAAAAAACAGAAAAAAAAAAGATGGGGAGGATGAAGAAGAGGGAGAGAAGACTACTTAAAAGTTCTATGTAATATAAGTGGAGATATTAAGATACCACAACAAATTACATTACACTTTTTTCCAGAAATATTTTTTCACCTGTGAAATAGCCAGTGACATTATCCCCTTGAACCTCATAGGTTCTTTTCCGGTCCAAAAATTCCTTGTGATTGGCTATATCAGTAGTTTCATCAAGGGTTACATCATGAAAGCATATCAACACCCCATCTTTGGAGGATAAAACATCAGACTCTATGAAATCAGCACCTTCTTCAATAGCTTTCTGCAAATTCGTATTTCGGCAATCACATTAATAATGAAGATGCTACACTAATAAATAAGCCATTTTTTTATGCCAATCTTGGTATCAAACCATTTTTTTTTTTTTTTTTTTAAACTTCCGTATTGACTTGTTTAGCATGTATTTACCAGTCAAACAAACCTATTAAACTGCAAGACTGAGTAAGAGATTTGGGAAATGTAGTATTTTGAATAGCTACAAAATTTGTGTACAGCATTAAATAGCTTTACCATATATGCAGCAGTTGTTTCTTCAGGAATTTCCCCATTTGAGCCACGGTGAGCAATGTTATAGGGCCGAAATGTTTGGATCGGTTGCCTATTTCTGTCATTTCTTCTGCTGGGGAGTGGGTAAAGAACTCTTGCAGAGCACCCAACCATGAGTAGGACAAAGACAAAAGGTATAATGCCTGCAAAACACATTGCTCATAAATTATGTCCAAGTCGGTTTTAATTATATCAGCAAGAACATTTTTTTCCTACATCTAAATGCAGAAAAACAGAAATAGTACTAAGCAATGGTGTGTCTTAATTTGGTCGCTGTAAACTGGATCATAAGCACACCATAGACTGAAAATTTATTCAAACTTTATTGTGGCTCGAGAACTATGCATCAAACTTGATTTCTAGTAGCTAAATGCCTCATGTGTACATGTTAATCTGTCCAAAACCAAACTAATAGAGCCGAGTATTCGATAAAGCTGCCCCCTTTTAGAAGCTTCGCTTTATTTTTCAGCGTTCGCAATAAACTTTATCAGAAGCAACAACATATTCAGCAAATTCTGAATAAAATACAACACATAAAACTGTAGCAACACTACAGATTAATAGGAAAACTCAAAAAACACCATTTTCCTGTAAAACCCACAAAACCCAGATCTTACAAACCTCGCAGAACAACAGATCAACAACGCGAGCTGAACAAAATGCACAAACTCGAAAAAAATCAGCCATGGTTAATGAATAGAGCAGACATGCGAGAGACACACATGGGCACATTCATATGTGCATGCATTTGTGATATATGCACTAATCTCTTCGAAAGAATGTATCTTGGTAAGATCGCAAGAACAATAAATTAAAGAAGACAAAGAAATTTCGAATTTTGGTGGTACTCACGGGGTGAAGACATTGGTGCTGATTTCTTGCCCTGCTCTCTCTCTCCTCTTTCTTGGAGGGTTTCAAATATAATTAATGTGCGGAAGTAGCGGAAACTTCTACAGGATTATAAACCTCAGATTCTTCGCCGTGGATTTACATGGGCTGATCCGAATATTCCTTTTTAGTTTGATAACCAATGGTAGATGATCACATAATTAAGCTAGGTTTCTCGTTATACGTCGACAGGTGCAGATAAGCCATTGAAGGGCGTGAAGTAGTTTGTACGGCTATGATTGCCAGTTGGAGTTCTAAAGCCAACTGGATTCAATTTTTTTAAACTCATCAATCATTGGGTAAATTGAAGGCCAAGGATAAGCCCAAATCGAACAACTTTGATTACCTTTGACTTCAATGAGATAAATGATACTCCCTTCTATTTTCAATAAGTGTCGATGTTTTGAGAAGTTTGTATATTAATTAAGATTTTTTTTTTGCCAATAATAACTCTGATTAATGAAGATAGAGATAGATATTTTGAAAAAAGATGAAGAGTGAATATGAGATGACTTAGTGTATCTATTAGCTAGATAAAGGTAATAATAGAAAAATATATACAAAACATCCAAAATGTCATTTATTTGATTAATTATTGATAAAACCAAAATGACATTTAAAAAAAAAAAATCGGAGGTAGTAAATAAAACACATAAATACCAATTTTGTATAAGACCTTAAATGAGTTTATTCATCATATTATTTAAAAAATATATACATTTATGGAATGAAATGTAATGTTTTTTTTTATCTTTTTTTATATGTACTTTTTTAGATATAATATTTCAATTAAGAAATATAAATTATGTTGAAATGTTTTGTTGGAAAACGTTCATTTATATAACAATAATCTTATAGGAAAAAATATAATGGTAGCTGATAACGCAAAACACTCTGACCGGCTTGAAATCGGCTTGTCTTCCTCTTCCTCGCCAGTAGAAGGCCGCGTACCTGCAAAGAACTCTCACACCGGGGGTTTTTCCGGTGAAGAGCCTCCGATGCTTAAGTCAGTATTTATCTCACTCAATTCTCCAAAGTATAGAATGGATAAATCGTGAGCAACAAGAAAGACTCATTCCTATATATATAGGAGTGAGATACTTACGTACCCTAGGAGCTGCTCGGATCTGATGAGCTGTCCTCCCAGCGCTGGCCGTCCGTACACACACAGTGTGCGTGTGTCAGAGGTAGTTATCGCCACTATCGCTCTGCACCAATGCACTCTCGTCTCGCCCCTCTGAGCAGAGGGTAATTATTCCTCTGAATATTCTCTTGAGATTTTCTGACGAAGCTCACGCGCTTTCTCGCGTTCATACCACGTCCCTGATTGCTCTCCCCTCGCCTAGTGGTCGATCAAATGAGTCCTCCTCTGGCAGGCGATCTTCGACCAAGCCCTCTTCGATGCTCGACCACTTCCTCTCAGTCCGCTGTTGCTCGACTGATGTAGTATTTCTAATATTGAGCTTGTACGACCGGCTCGGTGAGCCGGAATATTCCTTAAGTATATAATATCTCATATCAGTAGCATATGATTTTTATTTTGTGATCTAGCAGAGTTGGATATGTTGAGGTGATTGGCTATAGATTATTTTGAATTGGTGTTGATTTTATCAGATAAAGTGAATTGAGAGTAAAATTTTTAATTAAATTAAATTTTGTGAGTGAATACTGGAGCTGAGTCACATAGTATTGATATGGAGCGAGAAATTGGCTGCTATAGCAAAGTTGGCTCAATTATGGAGTCAATTGTTAGCTTCAGAACAAAATAGATAGTTAAATTGTGATAGTTGAATTTGATATAATACATAAATAGTAAAATAATGATTATGAAGCGAACAATTGACTCAGCGCAAGTGAAGTTGGTTCCATGGCTCTAAAGTGAATGGGACTGATGAGTTAAAATGTGATGCTTGAAGTTAGTGTGATATAAAAACAGTACAATAATGATTATAGAGTAAATAGTTGGCTCCATGACTCTATAGTGAAGTTGGCACAAATGAGTTAAATAAAATGTGATTGATTAAAGTTGATGTGATATAAAAATAGTAAAATAAATAATAATATTAAATAAATAATAATTAATTTTTAAAAAAATATATAGTAATGGTTAATTTTTATTATTTAATTATATTAATAATATTAAAGAGAAAAATTATATTAGATGAATAGTAGATTTTGAGATTAAAATTTATTTCTAAATCATAGTACCGTCCCAAAATAATTATTCCACGAGACAACCACAATTCCAAGAGGACCCTTTCAGCGAGACGAAATCATGAACTATTTCCATTAGTACCAAAGATTCTAGCATATGATGTGCTGGGATTTTTCATTAGAATGAACATCATTTTACCAATAGCACTTGGATTGCATCTAGACGTATATCTACATTTTCTTTTTTGGTTCAACTTCACTAACATCATGAACTATTGATTATGAAACCCTTGAGATGCATTATACTAACCATGATTTGATGATTTTTTTCACCTGCTTTTGCAAAAATGTGAAAAAGTGCTTGGAACCAACTGGATAATTTATCAAAAAATTCCATAACGAGGCAAAAAATGATAATTGTCAAGCATAATGTTTATCTCAAATTGATATCTGACAGCACCACGACTCAAATTTTAAACCGTAAATAAGTTGCAAAAACATTTGCATCAAAATACCTACTTTCAAACACATGATAACATCTAAATCATAGCATTCGATAAAAGAACGTAGGCTGATATCTCATCAGATAAAGCACCGAGTCTTAACGTGTCTCAATTTTTACAGAAGGAAAACTCTTGCCCATGAATCGGCTAACTATAGTAAGATTCCGTGCCAAAGCAATCAATCAGTGGAGCAGATATGGGCCAAGAAAACGAAGTGACAAGCCAGAGTAATCATTAATGAAACCATAAAGCTAAAACCGCGAGTTGGGATTTTTCATATGGCCATAAGATCACCGTACTGGCGCATCAAGATTATTGAACCAGCAAAGAGCCCCACTGCACGAGCAAGTTTCTGTAGCCAAAAGACGAAAAAGAAAGATTAAAGAAGTGCAATTCGGATATAGGAAACACCAAACGGAAGTTACTGAATAATTCATATCGACCAAGCAAGAATCATCTAGCATGATTTTAGGCAAAAATTACACGACAGAAAAAAGAATGTTTTGCATGATATTCTCAAAGGAACAACACTTAAAATATAAAACAGCAGTACAACAAAGAGGGGGTAATGTATATATTTTTTTTTAATTTTTCTTTCATGTCTCATCACACCCCAAACCATATATTTTTCGGCAACCTAACTTATTCCCGCACGAACTCATATCGTGCACATGAGGCACTTGGGGTGTGATTGGATATGAATTTGATTGGTTTTTTAATCATAGTTAATTTTGAAAAAGTTGGTATAGTTAATTGTTAGTAGGAATATTAAAATAATATGTAAAATTATTTAAATAAAGTTGATTTGGTGTAATAGTAGGAGAAAAATGATTGAAAGTGATGGTTAGTAAAATTATGTGAGTGGATGAATAGTGGATTAAAGTTGATGTGATGTGTAAGAATGATTAGGTGATGATATTATTTAATTATATTGATAATATGGAGGATATTGAGGTTGGATTAAAGTTGAGTTATATTTGAATTTTGATTGATTCTTTTATTGTACAATCTATAACCAATCTCCCCCTTGAGGACCAGGCAACCAGGACATATTGAAAATGTTCTGTACTTCTGTCAACTACTTCTAAAGTGCCCAGAAGTGCTAAGCTAAAGAATAAAGACACCACATTCATATTGGTTCACATAAACGCAAGAGTAACGAGACAAAGTCCAATCAATTTCCAGGACTCATAGTTCCATTCTGAAAACCCATTACAAATGAAAATCACTATGAAAGGATATAAAGAGATCATACTCATATTGGTTCACAAATTCAAGAGTACACAAAACAAGACGAAATTCAATCAATTTCCGGGACTCGGAGCTCACCTAAAAAGCCAAAACAAATTAACTTCACTACAAAAGGATATAAGAGTGGTCCAACCTCATGTAACAACATAGATATCAATTGCTCTTTTCGGAATTCATTAAAAAGGTATGAGAAATATCAAATTAACTAAAACAATATCAATATCCACAGGGAAAGAGAATCTTCTTAGAATGGATAAACATCCCATGAAAATTTTAAGAATAGGTTCAAAACCCAAACATTAGATGGAAGAGGATATAAACAAATCCAATTGGCCCGAAACTAGAAATCAAATCGGAAACCCATAAAAAATGTAAGATAAACATAGATGCATAGTAACAGTAAACCGATGGGAACACAAGCAATCGCATGAAATAGTTAGCTGTACCATGTTGAAGTCCCATTTAGCAGGGTCGTGAAACTGAGAGTGCCAAAAAGCTTTGATATTTTCCACAGAAATTGCTTTGTCCGCCATTAAAGATCTATTTTTTTCTTTCCCCTTCAGAATTCGAATGTGGGTTAGGGTTCTTGAGTTTGGTCCTTTTGCTCAACTGCTGGTTGGGTTTTGAAGATGGGAACTTTTTGTATTCCCTGAAATAGCCTTGGCCGGAGCTCAAAATCAAGTTGCAAGTCAAGGGTAGTTATGTACTTTGATAGGTAGAGTTATAGGTCACCCTTTGGGCCGCGGCGAATAAATCTTTTTTTGGGAAATTTACGTATGTAGACTCATTATAAGTTATTTTCATATCTACAATCCGTAAAGATCTATATCAAATAAATATTTAGTGGAGATTTTTTTCTTTTTTTCACAATTACAGTGATCTCTTTCTCTCTCCACGAGATTCGTTTCTATGTCCAAATAAAAATCATGCAATTAATTTGTACGGACGCAATAAAAAATAGAATTAACAAAAAAATTACCAAATATGATATCTATCATTTTGGATTGTTCAAATGTATTTTCTGTTTTTTTTTTTTCAAAAGATTCACCGAACGTGTTGCAGATACTATGCTGAAAACAACAAAGTATACAAAAACACTTGGAGTTGTGGTCGATGGAAGCATGAATTTGATATTGTGGTCGGTGAAACATTCAAAGATAAAAGTGAAGTGATGAAATTGTTGAGCCTCCATGCAATAACAAACCAATATCAGTTCAAAATAGAGAAGTCTTGCCCAATGTAGTACTACGTGAAGTGTTTATGTGCAGAATGCAACTGGTGAAAACTTCGAGGGTAAGACAATCAAACATTTTCAAGATATTGTGGTGTTTAAAAATGCATATATTTATTTATAAG